TTTGGAGTGGAAGGCATTATTACACTCAAAGGTATTGCTTTAGCATTCAAAATAATTCCCATATTCTCAAATTGGTTAAATTGAAACAATAATACTGAAAATACAAGAGTAAAAATAGGATTACATGGCAAGAAATAACACTGTGGTGGAGTAAAAGTGCGGGGCTTTTCGGCCCTGTTATACTAAATGGAATTTCCACTATTTTTTATGTCAGACATCCACAGATTGCTGTTAGCCAGGCAGCACGACAACAGCAAGAACAGACATGAAGGATTCAGGAGTCCTTTATCACAGCTAAAGAGAGAGGGTTGCAGTAGCAATAGATTTTCTTGGTCATAACGTGTAGCATCACATGACAAGTCACAGTTTAAGGGTTTGGCAAAGAGGTAAACTAAACCTGGGTAAACCACAGAGCTTTATCAAGTGGTTATTGATTTAGTGATGATTTAAGGCTATGGTGGAAGAAAAACCCAGGTGTCTAGTGACTCTTCTACAGTCCCAGTACTAAATGAAGAAACTCCAATCTGGTTAACTTCAGAGCATTAGCATCATCTCCCTTCTCTTTTTTAAAATTTTTAAATATAACAAGGAACCAATAATTTTTGCTAGCTGGACCCTATAAAATTTTATTTTAAGGCAAACATGTTTCCTCTGCAAACTTGGCGAAGAGCAAACTAATTTTAAGGATTTCCTTAAAAATTTTATACACTTACATTTGTTTGAAAGCAAACTAACTTCCCAGAAGCAGAGGGCAGTGAACCCCACCTTACTTGAAATTCCTCAATTTCTTGCTAATCTTTTTTTTTTTCCCTGCTTGAAACAGCAGTTCTAGGGAGGCATTACTGAAAAGCAGTGCTTCTTTTGCGATGCATGTAAATTCCATATCTTTTGGGAAACAAATTATGTTGAATGCCACAGACAGAAAATGTATCTGCTATCAATTTGCAATTTGCTATGTAATTTATGTCCTTCTGTTGGACATAAATTTTTGGTTTTGTTCTACAGCTGTGTTAGAGCATACAGAAATTAGCCTTTTATTGGACAATTTGACCTAGGAGTTCTGTTCAAGCAATGTAAAAAAAAAATCCTGACAATCCAGACATTTTGTTCTGACAATATTACCAGCTTCTGTTAAAGCATTAGTACACAGCTGAATTGCATGGCATATGTACTCAAGTTGGTAAGGCTTAAATTAGCAAGCCATTATGTAAGCAAATTTTAAGCATAATTTAAAGGAGCTAAATGACAAACTCCCTTAAAAAGCCACCTGACATATTATTAAGCAAATGTTTCCAAGTTGTCTTTCTTTCCAAGTATAAAGCACTGACATTATACTAAAATGAAAACAATCTCAGTCAAAGCCAGATCAGAAATAGGAGTCTCTTCTGCACTGATTACCAGCATTATTTTCTGCAACCACATACTACTAAGTTCAGTGACATAAATTCTTATATATTTATAATGTATTTTACATCCGGATTTCCCACCAGTTGTCCTTCATGTATGTAAATAGAAAAAAGAGAAAGCAAGCTGCTCTACTCTGCAAAACACAGGAAAATTGTGACATTTACTTTTATCATTTGCTCCCAATTTTTTTCGTTTGAAATTTGATAAAAAATTGTAATCCAAATGAAACCTCTACAATGGTAGACTGATTGCTATGGATAATTATACGGCTTAATCTGGAATATGGATCTTCCACCTAATTTTGTCAATGTCATACATATTTCACTTAGTTCAATACACCCACAGCACCTCACAAAATACTTGAATTTTGATCCAAAGAAACTACTTTTTCTCATTCATTTTTGTACCCTAAAATATATCTCCTTTTCTGTAAGGAGAATGGAACACATATCAGGTGATCACAAAGGAAATACGTATTTTAATGTATTAAACCTAACCAAACACTGTAAAAAAGTTTTACAGGAATGAGAAAAGAAAAGAAGTTGTATTTTCAGTCATTTTTCTGCTTTACAAGGTTGTGGTACCTTGGCAGGGAAGAACAGAGAAAGCAGTGGCAGCCACGCCATCAGGAGGACTGAGGTTGGGCCCTTCCTATCCCTTACCAAACCATGGACAACAACTAGTTGGGCATTTTGCTGACTTATCCACTGCCCTAAAAACCAAAATATTTCACATCACAGGGGAGAGTGAATGGAACAGAGGGAAGTAACTTAAACCCACTACCATTTTGGCAATTAAAATCTTGGTGTACAAGTAAAAGGATTTGTAATGGAAGTGTAGGCCCTCTATAAGGAACTAAAACCACCTAGAATATTCTGCCAAAATAGAAGTGTGAACTTTCTCTCAAAAAAAAAAAACAAAAAAAAACCAAACAAAACCCTACCTGACTTCCTTCTGAAATGTTATCTTGCACAAAATTGAACTAAACCCATTAAATGTGGTCTGCCTGGAACTATATGAAAGGAGAGCAACTCAGGTCAGAAGTACAAAGAACTAACCAATACTCAAAAAACATGAAAGAACTTCAGAAATGTATTTGAGTATGCATTTTGACATTTTAGAACAAGAATCACTGAAATTCATGTAACTCATTAGCCACTAGAATATGCCAGTTATTGCCAATTAATTTTGGAAGTGTAATGGAGTAATTTCTTGATCAGCCTAGGATGCCTACTAACTCTCACTACAAGGTGTTTTGGGATGTCCTTTATGATTTTAAATGAGGAGAGAACATATTAAGTTCTGCTATATATATTTGAAAAAATCCTTAAGAAATATTTGACACATACATGAAAAGGTCAAGAACAGCTTCAAAGCATTACATTTTTAAAATATTTAGCTACAATCAAGAACTGCAAGGGCCTCTTAGGGACCTTGTACATTGCCCTACAGCCACAAGCAACCACATCACATAAATCCTTTCCTAACCTCATTAAATTTAGCCTTTAAAGTTTTATTGGGCTCTTTTTCTTTCCAATAAGCCACATGAAAAAAATTCTCAAGGCTTTAACACTTTTAAACATCTTTTTTCAAGCAAGGAGTGTTTAGGACCAAGTTGTACACATTTGCTCTCATGTATTCACTGTCCTCTATTCTTATTATTTAAATTTTCTGCATTTCTACACATCAATTCCATACTTCCAGGTATCAACTATAATTGCTTTAGGTCTTGTCCCCTTAATATCTCTAGCTTTCTCTCACATGAGCAGCTCTCCATTTCCTGAATCATCCTCTGATTGACTTTTTTTGTGCCTGTCACAGTTTGTATTTGTCAAAGATGGGTAATGTATGGGAAACAACACCCCAGGTGAGGTATCATCAATTCTCCAACTCTTCAGGAAACACCTTGAATGTAGGTTAACACTTGACTTCTCCTGAGCTGACACTTTGGTAATTCACACTCCAGCATCCTTTCCAAATGATGCACCCTTAACTTGAAGAAACCTGGTGCATGTGTTTTGTGTCAGTATAATTTCTTGCGGGAAAAAATTCATGCGGACACTAAGCGATAAATATGTTTTAAAAGTTTTTACTGATATGAAACTTGCCATATGTAATTAGTCAGGAATGTTGAGCCATTGAAAATAATTAAGAAATGTTGCTCATGCTGTTCTAATTATAGCAATTGTACTAAAACATGATATTTTTAGGTATGTATTAATATTTTGAAATGAATTAATTCTATATACTACATTAACTTTTAAAGAGAGACACTACAAAAGCAATGGTGTTTTAAAGAAGTGATCCCCATGTTTCTCACACATTCAGGAGTAGTTATTATCATTAAGTTTTCAGCTGTTAAAGAGAAGTAGCTCAGCTTTAGCACACCATATAGAATTTATTTTCACACATTACTATTATGGCATTTTCTTGGCATGTGGAAGCCTGGAGTTCAACACCTAAACTAATCTAAACCTTTAGGAAAACCTGAACTAAGACAAGTGCACATGATAAGGATGTATTTAATTGAATTTAGGACAATCCAAACAAGTCAGATATGTCTTCAGAATACATCTTCAGAGTAGCACTAATACTGACCTATTAAAAACCTACTGCAATACTCAAATGTGATCAAAATAAACCTCTGGGAACGGAACAGTACGAAATTTCAGGTTACAGGTATGCTAGTATTTAAATGGGGGCATAACATCATATCAGAAGCATAACTCAACAAAGAAAGCATCAAAAACTACACTGGATTGTAAATAATTTACACTTGTTTCAGCTGAGGTGCCAGAAAAGATAGCTCATTTCCACACTTAACACTCCAATTAAAAACCTGGAGTACCACTTTTTGCAGAGCTGCTCCAGAAGAGATGGTAAATGCATGTGCACTGTTCTGCTCAAGCACTGCCACACCTGATGCCATGCACAGGGTGCAGAGATGAACAGGGAGCTACCCTCACCTATTTGAGGCAAGGCACAGGCAATACTGGTGAATATGCCTGTACTTGATCCTAAAAGTTCTGCAGATTTTTGAAATTCTAACTGTGCATTCAAAAAGGATTCACTCTACCTTGCTCACAATACTTATGTCCAGTTTGCCTATATATAGTATTAAAAATGTCAATCAAAAAGTTGTTTTTACAAGAATTCCCTAGATATCTGCTGCAGTCAGAAGTGAAACACAGCAAACAATGAAAAATTACAATTAAAATACTAAATTAGATTTCCTGAAGCTGATGAAAGGACATTGCATGCAAAACGTCAAAACTGTTAACTAAAGATGTATTTATGAAATAAAATTGTATTACAATTTTCTTGTCTCCTCTACTTTTTAGCCTATAAGTAATTCTCAGTTCTTAACTTCTTTTATTGTCATAATTTTGACAACAGTCTTGGGTTTCCCTGTAGAGCTGTCTTTAAGGCCTGTGTTCAGCTAAGGGATGTGTAGGGCCTGGGTGTCAGGATTCCTGTTTTCCCCCCTCCCCTGTGGATGATTATGAAATTTCAGTTCAGTTTTTCACATTAATATGCATCCCAGTTAACTAACAATATTATAACAATAAATTATAAAAAGCATGGATTCTAACCACTTTGTCCTCCTTTGGGAAAGCATCCAAGGAAGCAGAGTAAAAAGAGAAAAGAAAAAAGAAGAGATAAAGAATAAAATAGGCAAGTATTAATAGACAGATTTCAAAGAAATGCAATTCTAATAACTCTCTATGAAAAGACAAAAACACAAAATTAAGGGAAAGAAAGAGTTTTAAATAAAAATATTACATTACAGCATATGTTGAAAACATGTTTTCCCACCCTGACTCACAGAAGCATAAACAATATAAGAAACAAAATGCAAGTTACAAATGAAATGACACTCTTCCATTTCTGTGGCTTGAAATAGGGACTGAAAAATGGTTAAAATATATATTCAAATTTTTTCTGAATAAAGTTAAGCTGTATCACATGCACTCATTAATAGAATAATGTAATACATCAAAATAAAGTATATTTTCAGAGACTTGCTCTGATGACACCATCTACAGGTGACACAATGGAATGCATCTATTTTTACTAATATTAATACATGCACATTTTCATTCAGTTCACCTATGTAGTTTTCTTCAGCATGTGAATTTAATTTAATTGACTCACAGGTACATCGAGGCTATGGAAAACCTCTAAAATAACCATGAAATGCATCTTTCTGAGGGGTTACTTTTGGTTTACACAAAATTTCAGAAGGCCTATTCTGCTGATGTCCATCTTAAAGAAAGTGAAAATGCAACAAACTTGTTCCCTTGTGAACACAATTATCTGCTCTACAATCCATGTTCACTTTTAAGTGAATTTGTGTTGATACCAAGAGCACCTATAAATTTACCCTACAAAAGCCTGGCATCTTAAAGCCACATGAGAAAGTTGCCTCATCTCATGACAGAAAATGAGACTGTTCATGTAATAAACTGCAGGAGCAGTCAGAGGTTTGGAAGGGACTGACTGACCAGAGGGTACTCTTGGATAACATCTGGATTTGTGGAAAGCTGCTGCAGCTAACTCATGCAGATCAGAAGGAGAACCATTCAATTCACTTACCGGAAAGCACGATGCTTAATCCAGACTAATCTGAAGTTTTATTCTTTAAATTTTAAATAAATTGGCATAACACTTTTCTGTGCTAAGAAAAGTGTTGTTTTTGGGGTTTTTTTACACCAAAAAAATGGACTGATTTCATGTAAAAGCAATCTATAAATGTTTATATTAAGCTCTAAGAAAATAAAAATGTAATATTAAATAAGGCTTCAATATGAATTTATTAATGTGGAGTTGTACCTGAGCAAAAGTGTTTCTTCTTTTATTCTATCAAAAACAAGTATATTTTCTACAAGCTTTCACTCCACAGAACTAGGTACCCTTATTCTTTTGCTTTAATTAATTCTGTGATCCCCAAGTACCTTGGCAATCATTAAATACATTTGTTTTACTTGTATGATTTTACATTGATTTACGCGTATGATACACACATCATAATGAAGCAATGAATGAAACACTTCAGTTAAATGAAGCATGAAATGCCAAACTTAAAGTGAATAACCTGCAGCATGACAATGTCATGGAGGCTTTTTCTTAAGAGTACACATCAGAAGACTTACATTGTTTGATCGCAGAGAGACACGACCTCCACACCGAGCACAGAACTTGGTCCGGCAATAAGAGCATAAATGGCCACAACCATCTGCAAACTTTGTTTTATGACAGATTCCACATGTTGGGGCATCATCCTTGTGCTCTCCCTGGTAACGGCGGGCTTCTTCCCCTATCTTTCTTACTTGCTCTTTATAGCTTTCAAATTGTTGATGCAACCTCCTGCATAGATGAGAAAAAAGTTTATATAGCACGAATAGGAGGAAAGATTACTACTCTGTAGTTCTTTCAGTTTGCAACTCCACCTAATATTCTGGGCCTGTTCACAATACTACATGTACCTCATATCAAATACACGCTGCACACAAGATCACGTAGGGAAATGTAAAAGAAAATTATTCTTGAAGGTTTACTTCAAAAACTACAAGCAAGTAATTTCAATTGACCAGAAACTGATCCAAATGCATATACCAAACAAAATTACCTACCATGCACCAAATAAAAGAAATAATTGTGTGATCAAATTTGCATCTTTTTAACCAACTTAATATATACATCAGGTGTAACCAAAATACGTAAATCAATCTCCAGTTTCAGTACTTTCAAAATCTAGATTACTAACATATGTAACAAATATTTCAAAACATGGTTCACAATGACCTTACAAGAACATGACAACATCTTTTTATTTCAAATGTATATATTAACAATCTGTTGTGTTTTCTCTTGTTAAAGATGAGAGACTACTTAATGCTTGCTACCCCTCATTACAGATATTTCTTCCAGCTTAGGAAGATCGCGTAGGGAAATGTAAAGGAAAATTATTCTTGAAGGTTTACTCCAAAAACTACAAGCAAGTAATTTCAATTGACCAGAAACTGATCCAAATGCATATACCAAACAAAATTACCTACCATGCACCAAATAAAAGAAATAATTGTGTGATCAAATTTGCATATTTTTAACCAACTTAATATATGCATCAGGTGTAACCAAAATACGTAAATCAATCTCCAGTTTCAGTACTTTCAAAATCTAGATTACTAACATATGTAACAAATATTTCAAAACATGGTTCACAATGACCTTACAAGAACATGACAACATCTTTTTATTTCAAATGTATATATTAACAATCTGTTGTGTTTTCTCTTGTTAAAGATGAGAGACTACTTAATGCTTGCTACCCCTCATTACAGATATTTCTTCCAGCTTAGCATTAGAGGTTCCTAGGATGAAGACCAGTGTTGAAAGAAGCAGCACTTCTCCTCCAGCTGCCACAAACAACAAACACCCTGACCCTATGCCCACCATCTGGAGAAGCATGCTGCTGCACAACAGACTCACCTCCTAATCACAGCTCAAAAAGACCTGAGACAGCCTAAGGAGGAGATTCCAGAAGGGCAAAACTTGGTCTTTGCACAATGCCATGTAGAACCCAGGCTTTTCCAGATGTTTCTTCAAATATACATCTCCATATAAAGTTTAAAAATCATGAGCGACTACACAGATTGTGAATAGAAAGAAGCAATCTTGAGTTTAATAATTTGAAACAGTAGGTGTATTGTCTATAGCAGTCTTGGTGATATCCTTTATCCTCTGCTCTGAGCTACCTACTTCCTTAATTAGCACTGACTCACACCATTTAACCAGTGTATTTTTAGTGACACAATTCCATGTTTCTGTGGGCGCACGTGTGTGTGTGTGTGTGTGGAGAACTTGTCTGGAGTTTTAAGGTGTAAATGATCTGTGTTCTTTGTATGAAATACTTTTTTGGTGGGGTGGATATTTTTACTTTAACGTGATATTCAATCCTAAAAAATTACAGTTCAACTTAACTCACAGGAATTGTGGTAAAACACACATAATTCAGTTGGACAGGAATATTATTGCTTGTAAATTGGATTTCAACCAGCTCTCACACTAAAACCAGTAACATCACATGGGTGCATTCTAGTGAGAATGCAACAGCAAAAGCTAAGCAACTAAATAATCTATTATCCCTAACTACAAACATGATGCATTATACTTAATGCTTTATGCAAATCAAAAGCTTGGCAGGAGCAGCAAGAGGGTTTGTCTTATTTTTTACTAACCTGCTTAAAAACCTTTGCAGTATTGAGTAAGATGAGAAAAGTAGGTCAAAGAATTAGGCAAAATACTGGAGAAACTTAATACTTTTTGCCATATAACTGGATTACACATATAAATTAACTTATCTTACACAGCTTCTCACTTATAATGCATAAAAACAACAGAAGACATTCAGGAATTTTTATAATAACCAGCTTAAAAAATGCAATTAAATAATGGAGAGGTCTGTAGGTAAATTTCTTATTACATCAAATGTTCTATTAAAAAATGAAACCATGGAAACTAAATTCAGTTCTCCTACACTAAAGTAAAACCAAAAGCCCTGGCTGTTCACTAACATGGAAAGGGAAGATAACAGCAGGCACTGCCCCTCTTGCTGTTCTTTTCCAATTAGACCACCTACATTTGAACTTTTTTTGTCTCAAACAAAGCTCAGGAAGAGTATTAACACAATTATGTTTTTGCCCTTCTGTGTGCACCAAGGGGTAGGTGAACATGCTACAAACTGGGCAAAACTTAAGTGAGATGAGATTGAAGTTCTTTATAAACAAGCACCACTTGTTTATAGATTTGTTAATTTCTGAATCCATGTAAGACACATTTTACTATGAGGGGTTTGAAATCTTTATCTTTCATATCATACACGGCACTACTGAGGAAATGCTGACATTTTATCTACAGCAAGAACGGAACTGGAGAAAATGACTGCACATTTCACAGAGCAGAAAGAATCTTGCCCTGCTCACAGCAGGTATGGTTCAATTGGCTCTTTTTTTAACCACCTTTCCTACTTTTTTGAGGAAAAAGCTGGATCTCTGTATCTCTGGCTCTTCTATAATGGTGGCAGAGAATCCTTCTCAATGGTTTTGCCATATATAGAAGTACTTTAAGCATTAAGCAAGAACTAAAATCCAGATGGTAGGTTTTGATTTGCTCCTTAACTTCCAGGCTATTGAGAACATTTTCAGCAGATGCAAGAAAAATTTTAAACTATTAAATATTCCTTAACATAGACAAGCACCTAAAGGTTAGACTAGAGACCTAATAAGAGCATATGATATAATGTCTGAGCAGACCCTTGAAGCAGACACCAATTCAATGCCCTCTAACAGAAAGAGCAACCAGACCACAGTGTAAGAGGGGTATATGCATACACCCATATGATTTTCATCACGCACCCCAACATTTATCTGGTTCTGCTAGTGAAGTGAAGGGCACTTGCAAGATTAGCTTACTCTGAGACATTACTGCAGCACTTCACTTGTGGAGACCTCCCAACACTCTGAACAAAAGAGCTGCATCCACACGAGCTGACGTATGTGGGGAGGGCGCTGCTATTTCACACTCACAGGCATGGCACATATGCGTGAACAAAAAAAGATCCCACCATGGGAGAATCTTTGGGCACATCACATCTCCTATGACTAAACTGCTCTCTTCTGTTGCTAAAATACTGGAAAAACTGAGCAGCTTGGAGAGGGGCATCAGGCTCGGGACTTTACTGCACCTGTGAGGGGTCAGCATCACCACCCACAGTGTACAAAAGCCAATAAACACTTTGCACGTCTACAGGGAAAGACTTAACCCGCTCACTTTTACAATATACATAGAACCCAACATATGTTTAGTTTGCTGCTGGTTTTTTCTCCAAGAAAACATGATGGCTTCCTTCTCCCTTTTTTTTCAAAGGTATTTCACCAAAACCCTGCTTCAGCTGTGTTATATATGTACCATATTTTCATTTGAATATTCATTATTTTACTTTGACAGTGTAAATGAGTAAAAAATTACTGATAGGAAATTCTTCAAAGCTTTACTCACATCTTCATACACTTAGCAAAAACTGTAAGCCTTGGAGAACACTTGTGATAAATACCTTACATATGTTAAAGCTTTCAGACAGCTTACTGATATAATTAGGAGGACAAACAATGAACATTGAGGCCATTTATAACACTGACTGATCAAAAAGTGTTACATAAACACAGAGAAATTATCATGTATGTTGTTGGATTCTTTGGAGCTGGACCAAAATGTATATTTATTTTCTTATTATTTGAATTTTCGAAAGCTGCAATTTTTTAACAGACTATATTATTGCTTCTTTTGCTATTTTAAATTCATGTATTAAATTTTATTTTGCTGTTTCAAATACCTATCAAAATTATTTGCACATATATGCTGAAGAGTAGAAAGCTTCAAAATAGCACATTTGCATATATATATACTCTGTATGCACAGATTTTATAAAAGATTTATTAAGATTTGTGTCTCTTGCATGCAGAGTTACATTCTAAACGACTTTAAATGTAGTGAAATTATATTTTGTACTTCCTTAGAAATCCAGTAGATGGCAATACAGATCGTATTTTCACTCTCCTAGTTCAATTCAAATGGTTCAATCTCGAAATTAAACACCTGATGTAATGTTATAAAAATATTATGCCCTGTCATGAGTTCATGTTAGTCGAAAAAGTGCCGCCTTCTAAGTGACACAGCCTTAAGTAACTATCCACCAGCAGCTACCGCATGTCTGAAAAAAGCTTAGTAAAACGCAGTACTTTGTCCTCTTCACCCACCACACAAACACATCACCACACAGAGCTCAGACAAGTTTTTCCATAAGATAAGCAGGCGTTTTACCAACGCCTGTTCTTAGCATTCTTTTTTTACGATAAATAAATAATTTAAAATGCAAACAGCAATATTGCATATGCCCACGAAGGCAACAGCTAGAGCTAAAAACCTCTTGGTGATCTTTAAGCATCCACGTTGAAGCTGTGACCTGAAAAACGTTGTTCAGCTGCTCTGTAAAGCTGGAATTACCTCAGTTGCACCAGATGCCTTGTTGGTGTGCCAGCACTGCAGCACCCATCTATCTCATGGAGATGCTTCCAGAGGGAGCCTGGCTTTGCCCTCAGCCCCACCAGCACCTCAGCTGGGAAACGCTGTCAACTTGTCCCGGCTTTTGGGAATACACACTTGACAGCAAAGTCAAGACAGGCCCATTTTAGCAAGTTGCTGTGGATAGTTTTGTCTCAATAAAGAGAAATGAGGGGTTTATGGGGACTCTAGCATGTGTTGACAAGAAAAGCAGCTGAAGTTGAGTGGAGAAGTCTAGATATATT